CACATGCTATCAAGGCCAGGTCAGTCCTTGGAGATCAACTGTCTCCCACCCCAAGTCCACTCCAGGGAACCCAGACAGGATAAGACACTCACCCAAATTCACACCCCATGCAGGGCCTGACCTCCATCTCCTTCCTCCCTGTTGGCATCCTTCCTATGGGATGACATTTTCTGCAAGTGAAAATAGCTCCCATCTGGCCAGACCCCTGGGACTCCCATGTCTGTGGAGGCCAGGCCTGCTGAAGGTGGGAGTCAGGAGGGATGGGACCCAGGTGGGGCGACAGGCAACTTCTCCTCCTTCCCCCAGTGTCCACGAGGTGGGCATCCCCTCTGCACGAGGTCCACACACCAGACCTGGACCCTGTCCCCAAGAAGTCACCATCCAGTGGGAGATAAGTCTCCTGACATCTAAACTCCCACCACAGGAACTTCAGTAGGGGACGCACAGGCAGGATGGGGGCTCATCCCTCAGTTGGAAGTTGGAGGTTGGGTTTCAGGAGGACTGAGCAGGGGACACAGGGCTGTGGAGCTGAAGGCTCTGTGTGTCAACACACACTAAAGACAACAGAGAAGCCTGGTCGCAGGAGACCTGGGAACCTAAGACTGTGACTGCCATGCAATGGGATTTGAAGGGACAAAAGTCATAGGGAAGGGGCAGGTTTTGAAAAGGGTGGGAATTTCTTTTTCCTCGCAGCTCTCTTGGCACCAGGTAGGATTTCTTCCCCACTGTCAAGTCACTAAGACACACGTCCCCTGGTCACTCAGAGCATGATGATTCTGCCGATCCCTATAGGCTTTGCTCCTATAGGTTCTTTCCCAGAAGTCCAGAAGCCCAGGTGGACAGGAGACATGGAACAAGGACAACAGCTTTGGGACTGTTCCCTCAGGGTGTCAGGATTTCATGGGAGGAGAAACACAGCTCTGAACTCAACAGGAGATTTTTAAAAACTGTGCGACTGGCCTGGAGAAACAAGATGCTAGGAGGTGGGACCTCCTTAGGATAAACAGAAGCTATCAGTATTAAAGTGCCCCCCCCAATATACCAGGAGGAACAAAAGTCATTTTAGCAAAATGATACTTGCACACACAAGTTTGTTACAGCTCTTCACAATAGCAAAAACACAGAACCAACCCATTGCCCATCGAAGCTGGACTGGATTTAAAACATGTGGTACAGCCGGGCTCGATGGCTCAGCCTGTAATCCCGCGCCTTTGGGAGGCTGAGGTGAGTGAATTGCCTGAGCCCGCGGGTTCGAGACCCGCCTGGGCAGCGAGACCTCATCTCTACAATAAATCAAAAAAATCAGCTGGGCGTGGTGGCGCATGCCTGTAATTCCGGCTACTCAGAAGGCTGAGGTGGAAGGATCGCCGGAGCCCAGCAGGCCGAGGCTGCGGTGGCCGGGAGCGGCCACTGCACTCCAGTCTGGGCGACAGAGTGAGACTCCAACTCAAAAAAAAAAAAAAACAAAAAAAAACAAAAACAAAAAAAAACATGTGGTACATATACACAATGGAATATCATGCAACCATAAAGAAGGACAAACATAGGGACTTTGCAACAACATGGATGGATTTAGAGTCGATCGTACCCAGTGATCTTTCATAGAAACAAAGAACAAAGTACCATATGTTCTCACTCATGAGCAGACTGTGAACAATTATCATAATACTATAAGAAAGGGTTTGGCAATAGTGGGAATCTGCTAGGGGATGCGGGGATGGGATTGGCAGTTGAGGGAAACTGCCAGGGGAGGGAGGGGCACACCTCATCCACAAGGGTACCTGCAAAATGAACATTTGCATACCTAACCCTGAATT